TCAGGATCTAATTCCGGTGGATTCAAAATAAGTGTAATCTTTGTATATGTATAAATTTTATATAAAAAAAATTTACCGATTCAAAATGAAAGTAATGGATTCAGTTGAACTCACACAATCCGCGCTAGATCTGCCTGTGGATATATTGAATGATCATAATGCAGATTCACATTTTGCAATTGAGATCTCTGTTTTCATGCATTAATGGCATCAGACAGAAAATGGTGGCCAATAAGCGAAATGTTTGTCAGTGTACATCCCAAAAAGAAAAACTTAACTGTCATACATCGGAATTGGCGGGTAAATTGACACGAATTCTGCACAAGTGGATTTTAATAGTGAAAAAATAATAATAAGTATCATTGTACCTGTTTCTAATAATATTCAGGAGAAACTTTTTTTAAAAAGAAAAAATACATGCAATATACTAGTAAAGATTTCAATATTGATTTAAAATTTGAATATGAATATACTAGTAAAGATTTTAATCTTGATTTAAAATTTGAATATGAACATTTTAATTTAATAAAAATAAAAATTTAACTCATTTTTTTAATAGATGTTTAAACTAGTTTCTCTCTATAAAATAATTTTAATGTTAAAAGTACATTAATAATTGCCCTTAATTGTAATTTGACTCTCAAAAGTACTTTTTAAAAAAGATTAGTCAAACACAATATGCTTATAAAAAACACTTTTCAAATGAATTAGCCAAACACAAATTATTATTTTTTTCAAAAGCACTTTTCTAAAAAGCTATTTAAAAAAAATGTTTCTAAAAATAAACAATTTTTAGTAGCAATGTCAAACGGGATCTAAGATGGTATTTTGATTTAGAGTATTGCACATCATTGTACCCTGACCCGCCAACCCGTGCCCTGACCCTAACCCTAACTCGGGACACGAGGCTTGATTTGAGACCGACCCTACCTTGGACCCGAGACTTGAGCCATGAACCTGACCCGGGACCCAAGATTTGACCTGATCGGGGATTCGAGAGCCAATCCTAGTGAGTACAATGAAAAATATTTGAGCAAAATTCACAAACGATAAAATTGCGCTAAGCTAACAATCGTTTTAAAATGGATCATGCTTAAATTACTTCAAATTTAGCGACAATTTTAATTTACTTTAACCTCACCTATAAAAATCTGGACGAATTCAATAGATCATTTGTTTTTGCGCTAATTTTGACAGCCCTAAATTAACTATAAAAATAGGTAACAAACCTGAAAGTTAACTAATTCCATAACACTGATACGATTAGTTCATGACTTCATGTCCTAAGTTTCACTACATTAATTATAATTTCTTAATTTTTCAACTTTGAGAAATGTATTCCCTCTCTCTCTGTTTTACTTTATGTTGTTTTCATTAAAAAAAATGTATATTCGAATTAAAACAAAAAATTAATTAGTTTGACCCTCCTCCTAATCTGGTTACATAAGGTGGAACAAAGAAATCTTTTACTAATTGTTTGCGTCCAAAGGCAATACCAACAAGAAAGTCCTATTTTATTGAAAGTAGTATTACTTCAAGATTGATTAGGGTTTTATTTTGTTATATTAATCACACCTAATTACATACGTAAACTATTCTCTAGTCAAATAGATTTATACTACTTTCTTTGATGAAATTATAAGTGAAAGAAGTTAAAAGCTTCTCACCTTGTTCTTTTTCTAGATTTGTGTGATACTTTTTTTTTTATTTTAAATGAAGAAATCAGCTTCAGTAACCAATAATGTTGATCTTCCTGAGGCAATAATAGAAAAAATCTTGAGTTATTTGCCAGTGTAAGCAAAGATTGGAATTCCATAATTGTTGATCAACACTTTATTTCCCTTCATTCTGAAAAATCCTCTTTTGTGATTTACAACAAGTGTGAAGATGATGAATTTGTCGCCTTAATTAGAGGATTACTTTTGGAGCAAAGTATAGTTAATAATAATTCGAGATTAAGGAATCCTGAAACTCTCCGAATGTTCAACTTCCCAACACACACAAAATTCCTAGTTTGCACATGTATCTTGCTTTTCTCCCATCTACACAGACGAAAATCATCAAAATTTGGGTTGTGAAATTCTCAGCATTGGCAATACAAGTAATATTACTACCGACTCCTGGAACTACCAAAGGCGGAGAATGTGACAAGTTGTTACCTTTTTGTTACATCTCAAGTTACTTATTGCCATTTGGGGATCAAACCGCTGCTGTAAAGATTGATATATTGGACATGGAGAATGAGATCTACATTACTACTGCAACTTTACCTAGAGGTAATTTTACTTCAAAATTGGGATTTGATAATTATATACAATGGAACGAAAAGGTCTCGTTTGGTAAAATAGTAAATGATGAGCTTCATGTCTTGGTGTTAGACGATTATAAGACAAATAAATGGATTGTCAACTGAGTTAATAACTTTGATGGTCACTCAACTATCAACTATTTTCACAGAAAGTCACTCAACATATTTAATTATTTTTTTCACTAAAATTTTCTGATATAAATTTTTTATTTTTAACCAAAATTTTAAAAACCAAATATATATCCATTTAAACCATTTAATGATCCGACCCATTTAATCCGACCCGATAAATCATTAAAAAAGTCGTCATTCTCCATCTCTCAACCTATATTATAGATTCATAAATCCATTTATACTATGTGTACTGCTTTCAGTTGAATCCACCTTCTTCTTGTTAAAATATTTCATCCTTCAATCATGAAAGTATATGAGCGTAGACGAAAAAAGAAATTAGTTTCAGTAACCAATAATTCTGATCTTCCGGAGGCAATAATAGAACAAATCTTGAGTTGTTTGCCGGTTAAAGCATTGTTGAGATTCAAAAGTGTAAGCAAAGATTGGAATTCCATAATTCTTGATCATCACTTTATTTTCCTTCATTCTGAAAATTCATCCTTGTTGATTTACAACAAGTCTGAAAATGATGAATTTGTCGTCTTAGATGGATGCAAAGGATTACTTTTGGAGCAAAGTATAGTTAATAATTCGAGACTATATCGTATAAGGAATCCTGAAATTGGACAACTTGTTCAACTTCCCAACCCACAAAACAATCCTAGTTTGCTCATGACCCTTGATTTTCTCCCATCTAAGCAAGTTTTCAAGATTCTTTCCATTTATAAAGACGAAAATTCTCTAAATTTGGGTTGTGAAATTCTCACCATTGGGAATGAAAGTAGTTGTTTGTGGAGACTCCTGGAACTACCAACCTGTCAAAACGTGGAGAATGTGACAAATTGTCACGTTTTTGTTACATCTGAAGTTGCTTATTGCATTTGGGGAATAATTGATCAAACCGCTGCTATTAAGATTGATATATTGGACATGGAGAATGAGATCTACATTACTACTGCAACTTTACCTAGAGGTAATTTTACTTCAAAATTGGGCTTTGATAATTATATACAATGGAACGAAAAGGTCTCGTTTGGTAAAATACTAAATGATGAGCTTCATGTCTTGGTGTTAGACGATTATAAAACGAATAAATGGATTGAAGAAAAACGGACCGTCAAGATGAAAAACTTGAAAGAGGAAGATGAACCAATTGAAATTCTCTCTGTCAATGATCTCGAGTTGTACTTTTTATTACCAGAAAAGAAAAGTTTCTATCGGTATAATTTTACTTCGGGGAAGGTAGATATTGTGTTGTCAGATTATGACGATTCTAAAATTTTAGCTGTCTTTCATTCTTCTTTGTATACTTTAAATGGAATGCAGTCTATCTAATAACAACTTTTATTTGCTTTAATATGTTTTTTTTTTTTTAGTGAAGGATCTATCGAAACAATTTGATCCTTAGTTATTTTTTATAGGCAAAGATGATCAGCTGCGCTTTACTTTAGTCATATTAAGGTGAATAGATTGAACTAAACCTCCCTATATCAAGATATTGAAGCATTTAATGTACAATTATTTTTTGTTAAAAGGATTCAATTAGCTAATGGATGTATTGTAATAGTTCATAAAACTGGGAAGTATTTAAACTAATTTAATTTATCTTTTTAACCTACCAAGTAAGAATGCAGTATACAATATAAGATCACATTATTCTTTAAATTTGCCTTAAAAAATTAGTTCAACTTTTTCAAACTTCAAACTATAAAATTTGCAATATTTTTTAAAGATAAAAATGGGGAAATCCCGAGTTATTGAGAATTAAAAAAATGATGAGATTATGGAAGTAAATATTCTTGCATTTATTGCTCTGCACTATTTGTTCCAAGTGTTTGATATGAAAAAAACAGGTTAGAATGTGTTTGATATGAAGAGAACAAGTTCGAATCAATCGGAACAAAATAGTTACGTGTTTTGATATGAAAAGAACAAGTTCGAATCAATCGGAACAAGATTCGATGGTTTAATTTATTTTATTTTTTTGAAGGGGGAGCATGGATATGAGGGCAGGCTAATGATGGTGGCTTCATTTATTTTATTTTTTTGAAGAGGGAGCTTCGATACTGAGTAAATAAAAGGTTGTAATTTGAGGTTAGAGGAGACTTTTTGAAACTATTTTTCTTATTTTTTAAATTTATTTTAGAGGTAAGTCATTTTCTTCAACTTTGAAAAAAATAAATTGATTTGGAAAACATTTGCGTCTGATAAAACTGAAAAACATTTTTCAGAAAATGTTTGGTATGAAAGAAAACAAGTTGGTTTCTAACTTATTTTCTATGTTTGATGATAGAAAATATCTTTTATTTTTTGCTAGAGAGTAGAAAATAATAATGGTAGATGTTTTGCCTTAAAGGTTCGAAAATAATTGTTCAATATGGATGTTGAACAGATTTGAAGAAATGATGACTTATTTGGTTGCATATTTAGATGCAAGTAAAGAACATGTTGAACCTACGCACAATATTTATTTAGTAGTGATAGAGCTTTAAACTTGCCATTTATATTAATAAGTGATCAATAGATCAATTTTACCAAATGAATACATAAAAATAAACATTAATGTAATATATTTAAATGATTCAGAAAAACATTTGTGGAACATTTAATAAAAACGAGCCTTTTTTACCAAGCCAAATTCTGTCGAATGAACAACAAACAAGTACACCCAGAATAACAATATTACAAAGCAGCCAATTACACTCACATTATAATGAAAGAAAAATACACTCACATATACTATAAACTTGGCCACATTATAAACATAAAATTTCTCCAAATTTAGTTTAGCTTGTGAGTTGTTCCTCTTTGTGAGTTTCAATGGTAACATCAGACTGTGGATAGGCAACACAAGTTAACACATATCCACTACTTATTTGTTCATCTTCAAGAAAGTTTCCATCAGATTGATCAACACTTCCAGATACAATTTTACCAGCACAAGATGAGCAAGAACCTGCCCTGCATGAATAAGGAAGTTCATGTCCTTCTTCCTCAGCTTGATCAAGAATGTACACATCATCTGGACAATCAAATTCTACTGCTCCTGAAGGTGTAATAAGTTTCACTTTGTATGTAGCCATACAAGTTATTTTGCCACCATTTGCATATTTAACCCCAAGGAGATCTGGAAATGTCACAATTGGTTTTCTTGGCATGAAGGAGGTACTGATCATGGTGCCTGAAATACTGGCCATTTTTATCTTTCTTGTGCTTGGCTGGATCTCACTTCACTAATGAGCATTTAAATTGGGAGATTGTGGAAATGATTTGTTTAGGCTAATCTTCCACGTGTCCGCATAATACGGCACAGAAGACTATTCCTATCAATTCAGATTCTGGACATTTTGTCAGTTAGTAGAGTCTAGAAATGTCTGTCCAATCTAGATGGCTGAAGAAGATCTTGATGGGCGGGCATCCCAGCCAACTTTTTTTATGAATTGATTTTGTTTCTATTCCCAGCAAAATACTGCTCTTTGATGGCGTAGGAGGAATAGTAATAGTCCACCCAACCGAAAACGAAAATGAAAGACAACTATAATAGCTAACGGGGCAGTAAAGGGTTATTTGGTTAAGAGAAATGCAATTACAAATGAGGAGAATGGAAAACTGGTCTCTCTGCTTGCAATGTGTGGAATCCCAAATCGTTATCGTAAATTGTTCAACAACTTGTCTGGGCATAAAGAATAAACAAAAATTAAGTAGCAATGTTTTTTGCATCTGCGTCGTATAGTATTGGAGATATAACTACATCACAGCTGTTACTCTTAACATGCTAGCCTTGAATCTTCCAAAGTCTCCATTCTAATTTAAGTACAAATGAAAATAGGAGATTTCTTTTACAGCCCAAGGAATTTGGAAAATTTTCAGGGCTCCCTAGAATACAAGCAGAGGTACCTACCATCATTAAACCAAATTGAATCCCACAAAGATACATGGTTCTTGAGGTTGTTCTTGACCTTACTGCTAGATACCAAGCAAATATAGCAGTGTCAGTCCTAATCTTCTTTGTTAAAACATCAGTCACATTTGATGTTCCTATAGATCCTCCTCACGAACAGATGTGAGCCCAAAAATCCAACAGCACCTAAGTTTAAATGACAAGGCTGATTAGAACTAACATGAAGCAAGATGAAATACCAATTGAAATTACACACAAGCAATAGACTCAATGTGGCAGAAATGGTCTAACTGGTACTCATACTCACCGCAGAGAATTCCTAAGCCAAGACAAAACATCAGTGTATATCCAAAATAGAAGCTGGTCTGGAAGAACCCTGACATCTTAGTTTTCACATAGTAGTAATATACTGAGTACAGGTAGACATAGACAGCTGTAGAGAATGCTGAGAAAAATGAAGTCCACTGCCAATGATAATTCTCAGCATTTAGCAGGAAATATGTGCCCACAATGGTCACACAGACAGTAACAACAATGAGTATCAGGAACACCAAAAGCATGAACCCGTAAACATAGTAAACCTGCAAAAACCATAACTTGGATAAATTAGCAATGAATTCTAGTTTTATCCAGCAGCTGCTTAGTTGAGAAGTAAACTATAATATCCTGCTACCTAACAGAAGGGGTTCTTTCTCCATATCAATTTGAAATTATTATTTTTTAAAAAGTACGACTAATCATGCAGGCACTGCATGCTAGCAAAAGATAGCCATTCTATTCGTAGGAGTTCATTGAAATTTACACAATCTAATTTGTTCACGAGGAAAAGGGCACCAAGATGGACCCACTGGGTCAGCATCCTGAATCAGTTGGAGTTCGTTTCATGCTCATACTTATTTGCAGCAAGGTCCACGCTATGAACAGAATCAAATTGTTTCTCCCTGAATCCATTGAAGTTTAACCTTCTTATTATTCAAAATCACTTATTGTGAGTGCTACACAAGCCTCACATGGGTTTATAGTTTACCTTGTAATTCCAGAAGGATGTGAAGACGAAATACATCTCGATAAATATGCTGCCAAATGGTAGCAGACCACCCATCAAGGAGATTACAGATGGTGTCAAGTACCACTTTTTCACAGGTATAGGGCGAGGAATGGTCTTGACACGACACGGATTGTTTGGAGCACCACTCCAGTTTCTTCCAACAACTGTACCCAGAAGAGCCAAGGGGAAGGAAATGAATGCCCAGATGACGAAGACAACCACCATTGTGCCAAAGGGAATTGCTGCTAGAGACCCATAAAATATGGCGATTGTGTTCAGAACGAAGCCAATTCCAAAGCACATAAATGGAAAGAGTGATGCTGTCAGAATCATCGACTTGATCCAGCTTTTCCCTGCAATAAGAAGAAAAACAGTATGACTATTGCACTTGAAAAAAAAAAGGAAGCTAGAGAAAAAATGTGTTGTCATTCCAAAGTTCTGCACAGTGGCAGGTACCCCAAAACAGGAGCCACTAGCAATATGTCCCACATTACATATCAATAAATGATAAGACAAAAGATCCCAGCTTGAACTACCTCCTTAGATGAAATAGAAGTGCCAAAAGGAAGAGGGGGAAAAGGGGTCCAATAAAATATTAGTCCCTTAATAAGGATAGATATAGATAAGAAAGGAAACATACCACCATTCCGTGAGTACATTGCACCACTAACATAGCCCGAAATGAATGATGTCAAAGCATAACATACAATAAAAGTCGTAACAATGGATCCTCTCCTGAAAAGAATGCACACATACTATTTAAATTAGATATGTTACAGAGTAGCAAGGAAACATAGTACTCGAACAAATACTAATAGCAACCAGTAATGTTATTGTAATCCTAACCATGAAACTAGAAGTACCAGACAGATCCATCACGAATTGCCTCTATACTCTATTCCTAAATAGATAGCCAACAACTACAGTTCAAAGATATCAATCAAGGATCCAACATACCCAACATACAACATCCCCACAATTGCCAACAGTATGACAAGGAGGACAAGCAATGCCAGTTGTGCCCCAGTACCAACAAGAGCAGAAAGTAACACTAGGTTAAGGGGAGTCCGAAACACATCTCCATGAACAAGTTTCCAACCAGACTCTTCACTCACATCTCTTTCCTGAGACCAAAAACATAATGATTAAGAAAAGCAGCCTCAAAGTTGCAATTTTTTTTTTAAAATGGAATGGATAAGCCTCGAACTTGAACCTTATCTAAACAGAATGTTGTTTAAAGCACAAAGTTGTTACCAGAGTCTCCAGGTCATCATCTTCCCGAGCATATTTGGCATAATCATTCCTTAGCGTCCGCATCAATATCATAGACACCAGACCAGTAAGAAAGATGACCATCATGAAGGAATTAAAGATGGAGAACCAATGAATCTGCACAGTGCATAACACAATTACAAGCAACACATAAAAAAGAAAAATTGAATCTCATGGTGCTAATTAAATGCCAATCATTGGAGCAGATGAATAAAATTAAGAAAACGATGTTATCCAAGTAATCTCCATTTCTCCACCTGATGCTCAAAAAATGGGTAATCCAAGTAAACTTCAAAGCGACGAGCAAAACTGATATTGGTTGGCTCCCATTTGACAGAATATGTCATGTCCAAGGTTCTCCCAGCCTCCAAAGGCTTTGGGCCCTCTTGAGAGATATTGACATGAATGATCTGCAAGAACCAAAACATGGGAAAGATGAGTATGTAGACTTATCCACCAAATTTGGATGAGATGATCAAATCACAAACCTGGTCCTTATTGTATTTGATATGTATGTTCTTATGTGTGTAAAGTACATGCTTGTTATCACTGTTTCTGTCAGGATGTTGCTCACCAACAAAACCTATAACACAGACAAATCACAAATGATACTGCCTTTTTTTTCATTTTTTGACAAGAAAAATTAAGGCAGAGAGAGAGTACATACCCCACATCGGCAGGTCATCTGAAAAACATTCAACCCGGAAACAAAAGAAGGTAAAGGTCAAGACAAAAAATCAACAGAATTCAAAAGAATCTAAACAAAGCAACAGAAGGCAGAACATCTGAAAATGGAAAAAGCAAAAAAAAGTTCAGCGCTGAACCAGAATTAGGTTTAAATCAACACAGCCAAATCAAAATAAGGTCAACAGGAATGTGGCAATTAAACAATAAATAAGAGTGTACATTTAATAAAATAACATAAATAGATTCCAAAAGGTATCTTCAATAAGATAATGTTAATCAGCATTGCAAGAGTAGGTTTCTGACGAACAAAATGCACTCAATGTTTTTGCAGGGGATCTTCATATCATAAAAATATACCAAGAATAAAGTTTGTAACATACCAATGAAGAATTCAAACCAATAATTGTTTTCAATAGCATCCTTAAATTGCTTGACCTTCGCTTCATCAAGCTCAAGCTCACAAATGCTACCCTTGTCAACGTTTTCTATCAAACAACAAAGAGTCCATGTAAACCTCAAATCAAACAAGAATAATGAGGAGCAACACTGAAGGAGATCCACATACTTTGAAACTTTATGTCAATCTGACTATCAATAAGCTCGTTTCCACCCAAAACTTCACCAAGGCCACCCCATTTGTGAGAACCAGATGCATGACAAAACGGAAGGCTGTAATAGTTGTATGTTTCCTGTGGGTTATTGTAGGGCCCAACTTTATTTACCCATAAGGTAACTGGGTCATCTGATTGATACTGTAGGACAAAGCATAGAAGTCAGAATTTTTTTTTGCATAAACGAAGTCCTGGGTAAGAAACAAAACCACAAGCATAATGCAGTAATACATCCACTTAATTATGCATATTTTAATACTTCCCAGAAATTCACAGGAAACAAACAGGAGATTAAATATTCTCCTCTCTAGTAGATTTTTATAGTCCCATATTTTGCAGAAGTGAGCAAAATGTAGAGCAATGAAACAGACAAACTTGCATTGCTTTATATACAAGAAAAAAGAAAGGTATAGGGTTAACATCTTAACCAAACACCACCAGGCAAGGCACAAACAAGAAAAGATACCCTAATATAAGATGCCCTTAACCACATCGGTCCATTACATATCACTAAGTGCTAGATCTCATTAGCCTCCATAGAAAATCCTAGACCCTCACCTCGGAAAAAGAAACAAGTATATCCTGCACAAACCTCTAGCTCCTTGTTTTTAATGAGATAAGATCAATTAGATCTAAATCAACACACTTTTTGGGAAAGGAAGAAGATGATCTAGAGCAGAACTCCAGAAAAATTGATAAAGGCTTTAAGCCCTATCAATTGGCTTATGCGAAGATTGAGCAAGCATCACCTGAATAAATCCCTGAGCCAGAAACTAGATGTAAATTTAAAACAAAGAGCAAGATTTCATTTCAAACAGACACGTATGACCCTGAGCAAATCTTTGCAATGCACTTCCTAAG